AGGTTTCTCTATCCTGTAGTGATCTGGTGTTCCGGCCACGATCGGTCCTTCTTTCAATGGTGAACTTGTCTGTTGTCCGAAAGCTCCTGCCATGACCTTCTGTCCGCTCGTAGGGCAAAAATCGGCCCCTCGAAGTCCGTCTATCCGTGTCAATATCATCTTTCATTTTTTCTCTATTCTTCTCCCGTCCTTTGGTCGACAATGGAAAGCCAACCTGATTGTCTTCGATCCTTATTTTCGACTCGTACCGGTTGTGGACATCCCCCCAAGTCGTCGCTTGAAACTCGATCAGACTTTCCTTCAACTTCCGGGAAGCGTCCGAACTTCTCGGATTTAAACCTTTGGTGAACGCTTCAGCCGCCCATTCATCTAGGACTACCGGTAGTAACATCCTTTCCTTCTAGAACCGGGTAACGAACTCTCGTAATAATTCAGATTCTCCCTGCGTGATCCTGAATATGTCGGCCTTTCGGGCTTGTACCTTTCTGGCACCGGTATGAGTTTTGATGAAAGAATCCGTGAGCATCTCAAAGGAACCTATGAAATGCTCGGGCAATAATGAATACCACGTTAAAGCTCCCCTCGTGAGAGTCTCACCAAATATATTCAGCAACACGGACTCAATTTCGTGAGGAGCTAAATCATTTCCTTTCACTGTTATTGTGTAGGTGGTAATGTGCTCCTGTGGATCAGAAGTTCTTTCATACTTTGGTACTACGAGCATTTTGAACCGCTTCGGGATTAATTTTGGGGCTGCACTCGATTTATACGGTAATTGAATATACTTCTTCGAATTTGGGTCTTTTAGTACTGGTGGTGCACTCGGGATTTGATCCATGCGGGCGTTTACTTCCTTCATGAACCGCAAAAGTTCATCCTTGAACGGATCGTTCTTGTTGTTGAGGCCGGATCCCCTCCCCTCAGCCCCGTAGGAGCCAACTTCGCCCCTAGGAGTGTTATTATCAACTCTCGGCGTTGTTTGGTTCGCGGGAACATCAGGAGGAACTGGATTTTGCTTGTTTGCATTATTTGAGGCACCCGATAGCGCCTGCTTCAGTTCCGTCATAACCTGATCCTGCCGCGAGAGATGACCTAGAATGATTGCATGTTGCTCTTGCAGGACCCTTACTGCATTCGCCACATGCCCCTCATTAGCATCATCAGGAGTTGCCTCCCGAACCTGCAGAGGGTACCGCCTGTCATGTACTGATGTGGCGTCGTTCCTCTCATTGCGAGTGTCACTGATTGAATCCTCGAAATGAGGTTGTTCCCCTCAGGGTTGCGTGTGCCGTTAACAGCGTTATCTACCATTTCTTTTGTGATTTTTGCTAAGACAAAATAATCAATCACGTTAGTAAAAAAGGCAAGGATCAATTTAATCGCACGGCTGTCTAGGCCCCACGGTGGGTGCCAAACTGTTTATCCAAAAAACAGTACAATTAAATTTGTTCGTGATTTCTAGACAAGTAAATTAATTTAATCCAAAAAGTAATGAAATAAATGATGAAATATAAAATACTTAGCCTTAGAATGTAGATAGAATGACAGAGCTAATGAGTCCGAGAACAGGATTCCCGAGCACAACAATGATAAGATCAGAAGCGAGAAAGTAAAATTGTATTAAAATACTATATAGAATGTACTGTAAGTTAGCCAGAAAATTCGTGTCCTTACAATGATAACAGAGCTCACTATTTATAGCTACGTCTAGGAAAGGAGGTCCTAGGATCATGCCCTTCTTTAATGTCAATTATGAGGGCCATTGATGAAGATGTAACGTTAGACATAAATGCCAAATTCCTTGTAACGGGCCATCATCCTTAATACTGCAAAATATTCTGTATTAAATGTTACCGGACGCAAAGCAGTTAATACTCCTTTTATGATCGTTATTCTTTCCGATGACAAGCGAAATAGCTATGTTCGGTGGCCATCCCTATCTTCCGTTCCACGTGTCCTTCCTTTAAGCGGTCACGTGTCATGTCGTATTTTTGCGGCCACGTGTCATGTCGATAACTAGCAATAAATACAATAAATGACATTTAAGTAAATAGAGGAGTGATGCACCCAATAAAGGATAAACTAGATGATTGTCTCTCCTGACAGTGATGAGTGACAGACAAATCCTAGAATGTTCGAGTTATTCTCGGATCTGATGAGAAAGTTTGGAATAATATGAGCAAGAATCTGATGAAAATGCAGTATTTGTATCTTAGTAAGAAAGAGAGAATCTTTTATCAAAAGCCTATTCTTATCAAAAAATGAATGTCCCCTTTACACCATTATTTTTTCTCTATTTATATGAGACATTAGCCTAACAAACCCTAATAGTACAAGTGTAGAAAATATCCACTAGAATATTCTATTTCGAAAACTAGCCGTTACAGCTTCGTCAACGGTGCTCGACCTCGATCATTGCTGACATCTCGACCATGAATCTCGTTATTTCCTAGTCGACCTCGACTAATGACGACTCGAGGACTCTTCCTTTGATGTCATCTTATCTTAAATATTTTGGGGCAAATTTTGACCCATACAGGTGGACGAGCTGTTTTCGTCCGTCGTTCATAGTTTCTCTCTTTTATTTTTAATTTTACTTGTATTTTGTTTTTGGTAATTTTGCCATGGTTAGTGTGCGAATGTCATCATTATTATGCTATGGCAAAATTTTAACTCACGAGAAAAGTTAACGTGATACAGAATAGTTTTATTTCTTTTAACCTCTGAACATTAAGGACCGTTTGGTCATAGATTTTGTCAAAATAAATTTGGATTTATTTGACAAACACATGTTTGACTATAGATTTTGCTTACATTTTGGTAAAATCCCAAATCCCAAATAATAGTTGGTTTTGGGCCAAAATATTACTATTATATTTTTTAAAAATTGTCCCAAACTTTTGTATTTTATAAAAGAGCCCACCATTTATTATTTTGTAACAATGTTGCTTCGTCTTCTCGGTCACCTAATAGTGTATCATGTAGTTCATTATAAAAATAATAATTTTGTATCAAATTTATTTATGTTCAGGACTATGGTTTGCGATAATATAATGAATGTTATTGATAATGGTACTGTTGAGTATTTGTGATAGTTTTTAGAACTTGTGGGTATAAGTCATGTTTCATGTTTTTCCAAAATAAATTTGAGAAATATATTTTGAAAACTGATGTCCAAACACATTTTTATCTTTAAACCAAACTTCACCCAAATCAGATTTTTCAAAACAAATTTAAAAATCTATTGTCAAACGCTAGGTAAGTGTATAGTCCTTTGCAATCATTTGTCGGTCACGTTCATCACACTCAAATTTAAATGGTAATGTACCTTTGGTTATATCTTGTTAATTGTAATTATCATATTCATGATATCTTGTCTTCTAAACCATGTTAAGAATTGTTTGGAAGTGACTAGTGTTGCTAGAACAAAATGTCAGTAATGTTTATTTGCATTTTAAACTCATGTTATGTTTTTAATTCATGGACGTTTGTTTTAAATAAATTTACAATGTTAATTGTATGAGTCAAAATTTATCTTTAGAATACTTAAGTCAAGATAGTACTAGAGAAAAAGTTCCTAAGTCGTCGCTTGTCGAAACGGCCCAAGAGTCAACAATGGCCGAAGTTGAAGAGTCAACGAAGGCCGAAGTCGAACAGTCAACAAGGACCAAAGTCGAGACGTCAGTAAGGGTCGAGACCGAGGTCGAGTACCATTGACAGAGTTATAACAACTAGTTTTAAGATAAGATATTAAAGAGAATATTCTAATGAATATTCTTTGCACTTGTACTATTAAGGTTTCTTAAGAGCATGCTCCCTATAAATAGAAAAAAATATAATAATAGGGGACATGTGATATTCATTCGTAAAAAACACACTTTGTCTTGAGAAAGAGAATCAAATCTTCTTTGCTAAGATACAACATCACCTTTTCACTGAGATTCTTATCTATACTTTTCCACTAGATCCGAGAATAACTCAAATATTCAAGGAATTGTCTATCATTCATCGTTGTTGTCAGAGAGAACATATACTCATTCCGCTCTTTTTAGGGTGACTCATTCATTCTATTTACTTAAATGTCATTTATTGCTATTCATTGATATTGAATGCTACATTATTGCTTCTAATTTCTAGAATATCTATTGTATGTCACCGTCGCTGTCCGACCGTACCTACGTAATATTTACTGCTTCTTTAAGAACTTCATCTAAGGATATTATTATTAGCTAAGATTGACCCTTATTAATATAAGTTTGATTATTCGAACCAAGATACAATTTTTGGGTAAAACAATACTTTCTAAATATCATGTATGGTTAAGTTGCGTGAAACATTTAGTGTTCTATTGGTTTTAATGATTCTCCTCAATAAATTGGTCACTCGTACATAGAAAAATAGATCAATAATTTTTTATTATTCCTTTAAACAGAACACGGGTGATATATTCAACTGCGTTAAAGGAACTGTTTTTCCAAATTGCTTACTAAAATAAATTGTCTTGATTATTCCTTTAAACAGAACACGGGTGATACATCCAACTGTGTTAAATGAACTTTATTTTTTCCAAAACGTTTACTAAAATAAATTTTGTAGTTAAAACTTATACTTTTTGTCGAATGACCAAGAATTGTAGTAATAAAAAAAACAAATAGGGGAAGAGTTGAAATGCAGAAGGCTGGGGTCAATGTTGGTGTTACAGTAGGTGTAAGCCATTAGTCATCCCGTCCGAGTTACGCACTCCCTTACTTTAGGTGTACGCCGTAGTTAGAATGAGTAGTGTATTTGAAATGATTAATATTAGTTGAGGACGGTAAAAATAAAATCTATTTGCCGACGAGAGAGGGGACAAATTAAAGGGCAGCAAGTTGTTGCGGCTGAAGTTAGAGCAAAGGAAGCAGATGGTGATGCCCTGACAGTGAGCAGTGATGGGATTGCTGAGTTAGTACGGACTGCAAATACACCTCTCTCTCTTTCTCTGCATATTTCTCAGGGTACCTACAGCTGCTCTCTTTCTTTCTTTGCTTTCCTCCCATATTCCATTTTCACAAATCCCAACCCCCAAGTTTTGCTTCTTTTCTTACTCTACCCAAATCGCTAGATTGCTGCCCCCTCCCACCCCCCACCCACACATATTTTTCTCTTCCCTTGTTTAACAACTATATGCTTCACTGTATAACTTCATTTCTCAGTTGCTCTTGCTGACTCTTATCTCTTTTCCTTTTTCGTATTTCTCACTCCATATCTATCTGTTATGCTGAATTCGCTTCCTATTTGATCTTTTGTTGCCTCCGGTCTTCTGCTTTTCTATCTGTCCCCTTTTTCCCAGGTTGGGGTTTAAAATAGACAGTCATTGCAGACCCCACAAGTTGATATCCAATTGTGGAGAACAGCCTTGCATTTTTCTGATTAATATTTTGACGTCTAATGCAAGAATTTTGTGTCAATATTGCTTAGAGTCTACTACTGTATATTCCATGTGATGGTAGTCGGTGGTAATTGGTAAAGGTCCACCTTACCTGCAAGTTTTTGCAGTTTTTATACTTCTTTTCAATTGCTTCTCTCCTCCTATGTTTGCATCCTCTGGAAAATACAGAAAAAGATAATGACACGCACGGAAAAATGAATTTTTAGATGTTATATCCTGATTCTTAGATTTCAACACGCTGCTTGATTTTTCTACTTTATTTGTGAAAATCTCTTTATATTCCTTGTCAAATTATTGTATCCTTTTTAGTGCAAACTGGATGGCAAAACTATGACCAGATTAATTTATCAATTGCTCCTTATCATCACATTGTAATTGTCATATGCTTATCAAGTGCCGTTTTTATCGTCACACTGTAATTGTTATACGCTTTTTTTTTTTTGCTACTAGCATCGTACTATTGTTAAATGCATTTTTTGTGAAGTTACTATTAGAACAAGCTGAGAATAGTTAATCTGATAGCGTGGTACTGAATGCGGAATGCAAATTTAATAAACTAAGAATGCAAATTTAATAAACTAAGTGAATTCAGCGTGCCTGTGCCAGACTTGTACAGTTGGGAAAAAGATTTGATGGGTTCTAGATTCCCATCTCACCAGCTCAGCAATGGCCTTTACGTGTCAGGCCGGCCAGAGCAGCCGAAAGAAAGAACACCAACAATGACTTCCGCGCCCATGCCTTATACTGGCGGTGACATAAAGAAGTCAGGAGAGCTTGGGAAAATGTTTGATATCCCTGTGGATGGCTCCAAGTCGAGGAAATCTGGACCCATAACAGGTGCAACTTCGAGGACTGGATTATATACAGGTGCTGCATCACATTCAGGACCTATCAATCCTAATGCCGCTGCTAGGACTAGCTACTCAACCTCAGGTCCCATATCATCCTCAGGGGTGCCTGGTTCAGTTTCTACAAAGAAATCAAATTCTGGGCCCCTTAGTAAGCATGGCGAGCCTATAAAAAAGTCATCTGGTCCTCAATCTGGTGGAGTGACACCAACAGGCCGCCAAAACTCAGGTCCTCAAGCACCGGTTCTCCCTGCAACAGGTCTTATTACTTCTGGTCCTATTTCTTCTGGGCCTCTGAATTCCTCTGGGGCCCCAAGAAAGGTCTCCGGTCCTTTGGACTCAATGGGGTCAGCCAAGTTTCATGGCCCTTCTGTTGTTAACAGCCAGGCTGTGACAACTCTCAGTCAAAATGATGTGTATTCCTTTAAGAGGAGCTTCCCTAAACCTATTCTGTGGGCAATGATTTTGTTATTTGTGATGGGCTTTATTGCCGGGGGATTTATACTTGGAGCGGTGCACAATGCTATTCTGCTGATCGTTGTTGTGGTTCTCTTTGGAATTGTTGCTGCATTATTCGTATGGAACTCTTGCTGTGGTGGAAGTGCTATAATTAGTTTTATTTCCCGCTATCCAGATGCTGAACTGAGAACAGCCAAAAATGGCCAATATGTCAAGGTTTCTGGGGTATGTATTTTTCCATAACATGATAAGATCTTACTTGTTACCATTTGAAGTTTGTGCAGTTCTGGTGCTTGATTCAGAATTAGAATCGTCGGTCATGGGCTCTTTTAATTTCTTTTCCCTTTAAAGCTTATATTATGCCAATTAGGGATCCATTTGTCGTATATGTCTATTCTTAGCTATACCTGATATAAAAAAAAAATCTTAGCTACAATGCTAGCGTTATAAAAAATACCTTTAGTTCATATCTTAATTATGTTAATAAGATCCGGCAATCATTTCAGGTTTGTTTCCCTTCACCCCCTCAAAATTTTGAGAGGGGAATAAGATACCCGTAAACTATGGATAGGTATAGTCCACTCCCGCACTATGCATTTTCTGTTGAGTTTGGGGATATTTTAATGAGTGATTAAGTAAAATGATTAAAGCATCTTCGTAACAGATAGTAATTAACGTGACAGAATAGGTCATGTATGGTAATACTAAACCATCTAGTTTTTATGAATTGATTTTACTGTTGAACTTTTTAAAAAATGATCTCTATTTATCATTATTGTTAGGGAGAGAGAAAATAAACATTACGTTTGCGTTGGTTTTTCAAATGGAACTAATTACTCCCGTATTAGTGCATTCCGTTTTCTCCTCTGTATCGTCACACACAGAAAGAAAGAACGAAAAAGCTCGGCCCACTTTATTTAGATTCACAAATGCAATTTCTTTAAGTAATTGGAGCCAACTACCGAATTGCGAAAAAGAGGAATAGCAATTGCCAATCCTCTCGTTCTTTCTATTTCTCTGGTTTAAATATGGATTGAAGCATACTTGATTTGATATTACAAAGTAGAAATTACGAGATAAAACAAATAATTGTTTTTTTGATAATCATTTTTTATCCTTTGGGTCTTTCTTCCAAGAAATACATGTTCCACTGGACAACCAACTTTTTTTTTGTTTTTCTTTTATTCAGTATATAAATGTTGTGCTTTGTCAAGTCAGTTTCCTTTTGTTTCATCAAGTATTAATTCCCCTTTCTGGATGAGGACTTTTTTTTCCTTTTGTTCAACCCTCATTAGAATATTCTCAAACTAGTCAAAAATGCATGAACAGCGAGGCGTTTTGTCCCTATTGAAAGTCTAAGAAGATATCTCATCCCTCATCTTAAAATTGATGGGGTAAAATGAAATACCATCATTTTATGCAGTACTTTTATGGCTTAACCAGTGTTATTAGAAGCCATTGCTTTGTTGCTATTAAGGCAATGGAGCAATGGGAAGTGAGGGGACAAAGTGATGTGCTTCGAAGAAGCGTACACTTCAAATGATAATGTGCTAAGTGATTCAGGCAAGATGGATTTGATTAGTTGAGTGTAACTTCAAAAGATTGAAGAAAAAAAGAAAATAAGAGGAGAAAACATAGGGCCTTTTACTAACTGGGTACTAAGACTCCTTTCCACGTATGCTCAAGTGTTCTCTTTGTTGTCGCCCTCTTCTTGTTCTCAAGTTTGTAATGATTTATCTTCTACTACTGATCTGCTTTTCTTGGTTTACTTCCTTTTCTGGGTTAAATGATGATTCTTTCTTCTTGTATGCAAGTCCTCTTCTTCTGCTCTTCTTATTCTATGCTTCTCTCTTCTACTTGCTTAGTATATTTACTTGGGTAGTTTAATATGAAATTGAATATATTTGTTACAACTAAATATAAAATTGATTTCTGCAAATTAGTTCCTTTTTGTAGTTGATTAAATGAAAGCTGAAGATCAATTTTGTGATTGAGAATTTCTTTATGCAGTCTTGTTGAAATTATGTGTTAATGATGTTTAATTTGGGTTGCTGGATTAATATTGATGTTATTGTTTACTGGATACTAAAATTAGTAATTTTAGGTGTAATCTGATGCCATGCTGCAGCTTATTTGAAGAACTTTTTCTATTTTTTGTAAATTGTGCATTTCATTCCGAAAAATCGTGCCGAAGAGTCTTGTCATTTTTACGCCTTTCCCGTTTAAAAACACAAGATTAATGTGTTAAGTGTATATTAGTGGTCGGTTGAAGATTATAGATGTTTTTGGCTTTATATGGTGTTGTGATCTTAGTAGTTAGCACGTAACAAGTCTATCATTAGAACTTGTCTCTAATATCTAATAAGCTTTAAGAATTGTTTTTTTCCTTGTTGTAGTTCCCCGTGGTCAACTTAAGACGAGTTTAAATGGACAATTGTTATTGTCAGTGATGATTCATATAGCCGATTCCAATTTGTTTGGGACTCAGGCATAAAAGTTGTAGTTCATAGTGGTCTTGGTCCTAATGTCATGACCATATGTGAATATGTGAATGTTGTGACGCTCTCTCTTTTTAGAGTTTAATATATTACAACAAACATGTGTCTTTCTATTTAGTTAATCACTTAGTTGTGCTATCAATCATATTGTATTACCTTACCTTTTTTTTTCGATCGGTATATTACCTTACCTTATGTATGGATTTTGTTCTTAAATCTCTTTCCTAAACTTTTACTCATATTTATCTTTCAAGATGAAAATCGATTTCTACCACTTAGAAATTCCCCGTCTCAATCTAAATTATTTTGAAGTGTTATTACTAAGTTTTCAGCAGATGTCCTCAATCAGTACAATTTAGTTAATTTTCTTTTTGATATGGTAACCCCATCCACCCGAAACCTCCCCCTAAGGAGTCAACCGTGGTCCTTTCCCACTTTGTTCCCTTGTTGACTTGAAACTCCAACCAACCTGAAGGTTGGAGATGAAGGATCCTTTCCACTAGGCTACCTCTTCTTCAGTTTAGTTACTCATATGGTACTAGGTAAGAAAATCTATTGACAAATAAGAGATAACACTTGGTATATGCTCTTCAAAAGGTAACTTCACCTTTTTCACCTCTCCACATACTTTTTCTTCATGGTCAAATCAAAGTGGTTGTTACTCCGGTGCAACTAGATTTGATTATTTCCTTCCTCCCCTTTTTGAGGGACATGATGGCCAGCAATAGCAGCGGTCTGTTGAAGTTAGGTGAACTATATCTTGGAAGTGTAGATGGGTTTTATTAGTAATGCTTTGTAGATGGCTTAGGTGTTAGTCTGCAGTAGATGAAAAGTAGCACATGGTTGTTGTGTGATGGTGTTGGCAGCACTTTTGGTAGTTCTTTTCTGGAAGGAGTTAACTCGGTATTTGCATATGGTTTGCTGACAGGCAGCTGCAGTGATTTCGGTGGCTGATATAATGGCTTCTCCAATTGTTTCTGCACTGTGGCTGAGTGTCTAGGTGGAGTGTTTCTTAGTGGTGAAGGTTATTAGCAAGGACATGGGTGAAAGGTGCTCACTGGTGCAACCAGGTGGTATGCTGTTGGGCTCATGGCGTCGTGGTCGGGTTTTCTTAGCAGTTAATGATATTTGGAACATACTAATAAAAATTTTCAATGGCTTTTGGTCTTGAAGGAGTTGTTCTTGCCTTTTTTGAATCCCAAATACCAGGGAGAGGTAAGGGAAACAAAATTGTAGGTATCAATTTAAGTAAGAAACACTATCTCTGGACTATCATTAGATGCATAGGATTGACTTTATGTTACAGTTGATGGATTGTTGAATGTTGTCATTGGTGCAACTACTGAACCAATTGTCTTCCCTACCGACAATTTATTTGATGCTGCGAAGTTTGGAATAGGAAGATAAGAGCTTAGTGTCAAGGGACTATTTCCTTTTCTTTGGGTGTCTTTGTATTCAACTAATTGGTGCTATGTGAAAGTTAGATCTATTATTATTGATGCTCAAGTCCTCATTTGCGTGATGGAAATGATAGGATTGAATTGTATCAGAAAAAGGCATGGCAGTGTTCATCCTTCTCACTCATGCATGCTTTTCATAAGCAGATGAATAGAACATCATCCTTAAGGTCTGGTGCGTGGTGTAGAAATGAGATGTAGTTGCACTATTCTCGTGTCCAGAAGCGGAACTAACTCTTCTTTAGCAGCTGTGCTTTGTTAGCTTCTTCTTAGCTACTAGTTTGTAGCCAACTATGTGATGGCACTTATATTATTGAAAGTTGCTAGGATAGAACTGCGGGATATTGGTCGTCTCTTTATGGGATAAAGCTATTATTGCTATTTAGCCCGAAATGACGTTTTAACATATGAATATTGAGATTCTTCTGAAGTGATGTTTTAACATATGAACATTGAGATTCTTCTGTTCAACATTTTCTTTTCCAGTTGTTGATTGACATCTGTCCAAACTATACGTACTATAACACTCTATTTTCATGAAGGTGGTGACTTGTGGAAACGTGCCTCTTGAGTCATCCTTTCAAAAAGTTCCTAGGTGTGTCTATACATCTACAAGTTTATATGAGTATCGAGGATGGGATTCAAAAGCTGCAGGTCCTACTCACCGTCGTTTTACATGGGGCCTCAGATCTTCAGAAGTGAGTCGCTAGGCAGATTTCCTAATCTTCGTGTCCTGTTTAGATTCAATCAAATTCTTGTAATTGTTACTTTGCTGACTGGTATTCTTTGTCCATACTGTTTTGCAGAGGCATGTAGTCGATTTTTATATCTCTGATTTTCAGTCAGGGTTAAGAGCATTGGTTAAGAGTGGCTGTGGTGCAAAGGTGACTCCTTATGTAGACGAGTCGATAGTTGTTGACGTGGATCCATTGAATAATGAGTTATCTCCAGAATTTATCAGGTGGTTGAGAGAAAGAAATCTTTCAAGTGATGATCGCATAATGCGACTGAAGGAAGGGTATGGAAATTGCTAGTACATTATGCTTAATCCTATTGCTCCGAGGCACTAAAGTTGGAATTCAATGTAGCTTGATGACTTTTATTTCTTTTATTTTTCGGCAACATCTGCGGAACACGTCAAGTGAATGTGTACCCATGTGTTGAATTATCTCAATGCTAATATTACTGTCTTACTGATATAGGTATATAAAAGAAGGAAGTACAGTTAGCGTGATTGGAGTGGTTCAAAGGAATGAGAACGTGCTTATGATAGTCCCTCCTCCCGAGCCATTTACAACAGGTTGCCAGTGGCTGAAATGTATATTTCCGGCTAGCCTTGAGGGCATTGTGTTAAGATGTGAAGATGCGTCAAAAGTTGATGCTATACCAGTATGATAGGTTATGTTCAACGTACTTAAGATGGTATGTGTGATGTTAGGTACTTTAAGATGTTTATTGTGGAGAGATGTCTGAAAATAGTTGGTGTTCAATTTCCTGTATAGTTACTAGCTTTTGTTTTTAACTTTTATTAGACAATATTGTAATGAAGGAATGGTTAAATGCTGTAGCAATGGAAAATTAAATGTTTGAGGCGTAGTGGTTATACTTGTATTACTATACTATACCATGTATCAGCTGTGGGAAAGACTCGAAGAAAGAGGTGAACATTATCTTTTTGTTTGTTTATTTCTTTTTAGGGTGAAAGACAAACAAAGTAAACGTTACTTATGTATGCTCTAGCCTCCAATAGGAACTTGGCAAAGCTTGGGATGGATCTTTGTTTCATTTGATAATCAATTAACTAAAAAAAGAAAATTCTGTTAATTTATGCAATTAACAAAAAAGAGTGATGCTCTTTAGGGGTTGAGACACGGACTTTATATCTATACTATATTAAAAACATGAGCTCCTTAGTTAAAAGTTAAATTACTTAAATGCCCCTTTAAATAATATTAAAATCTTAATTTATTTTTATAAAAAAAAAACGCCTACAAGAGGACGTTTCATGCTTTATTAAGAGACACAACTTACAACCTTTTTGCGAGGGAAAAGACACATTGAATAGCTAACTCCAAAAGGTGTTATTGTTGATAAACTGATAGGTACCAATCATGCCGAAATATGACAATATCCAAAAGTGAAATAAAAGTTTTGCCCCAGTTTCTGATACTGGGGATTTTTGTATTTTTTTCTTTCTTTTTTTCTTCTCTTTCTTTTTTTTTTCTTTTTTTTTTTGAATTCTTATTTGGTTGGACCGAACCGTGTAAGGCTACCTATGTATCCTTTTTTTTAAAAGGAATCGGGTCTAATGTAGTTCAAACATCTGACCTAATATTATTATTTTTTTCTTCTTTCTTTCTTTTTCTTTGTCTTTCTTTTTTTTTTCTTCTCATTTTTTCCTTCTTTCTTCTCTTTTTTTTCCTTTCAAAACAAGTTGCCCCAGCTTTTATTTTCTGGGGGCATGGACTTTGACTATTCTTTTCTTATTCTTTTTTTTTTACTTGAACTTTCTAAGAGTCGGCCCAGTTTGTACTCTTGGGATGTAGACTTTTCTTTTCATTTTTTCTCTTTTTTTTTTCTTTATTTTTTTCTTCTTAAACTTTTGAGTCTAAACTTGATTCCAAAAGAGGGTGGTCAAAGAAAATAACACAAGCTCGAAAGGGGTAACGAAGGGTATAAAGTGTTTGTATAACAGAAAAAGGGCCTCCCAGCCTCGAGAATACTAATCACGCGTGCAATCTGATCCCCCAATATAGACTTTTAATAAGTCTGTTACAGTGTGCAACCCGATCCTCCAATATGGACTTTTTAATAAGTCTGTTGCAGCGTGTAACCCGATCCCCCAATATATTCATTTCAATCAATTATGTTGCGGCGTGCAACCCGCTCCTCCAATATATTCATTTACCAATTCTTATAGAAGAAATTGCCCCAATAAATGCAACAATTAATATTAAATTTTAAGATAACAAGCATAGAATAATTATGATTTAATTATGAAACAAAGTTACAAATAATGACAAATAGCAATTTATTATGAAAATCAGGGAGAAAATAGGCAGTTTAATATTTAATATGCTAAATGTCAAGTAGAAATTAATACACATATTCAAACAAGATGTAGCAATTATTAGAGGAATTCAAGAATTAATATTTGATAAAGAATAGGAGAGATACAATTATTATAACAATTCATTCATGATTTAAAACGATTTATGATTTTAAAATAATTATGCAAACAATTAATTTGATGACGTATAGACACTTGTCACCTCGCCTATACGTCGTTCACATGTATTTCATATAACAAATAGTTTAAGGGTTCTATTCCCTCAAGTCAAGATTAACCATGACACTTACCTCGCTTAGAAAATTCCAATCAATTACTCGACCACAGTTTTTCCTTTTAAATTTGTCTCCAAAAGCTTCAAATCTATTCACAAACAATTCGATATACTCAATACGAATCATAGGAATTAATTCCATATGAATTTAATAATTTTCCGGATAAAAATCTAAAATTTATTTAAATATTCGATAGTGGGACCCACATCTCAAATCTCGAAAAAACTTATAAAATTCGAACACCCGTTCCGATACGAGTTCAACCATACAAAATTTATCCAATTCCGATGCCAAATAGACCTTCAAATCTTAAATTTTTGTTTTTGAAAGATTTTATAAAAATATGATTTCTCCCAAAACTTCACGGATTCATGATATAAATGAGTATGGAATCATGAAATATAATCAATATAGGATAAGGAATACTTATCCCAATATTTTTTCGTAAAAATCGCTCAAGAATCGCCTTACCCGAGCTCAAAAATGGAAAAGGGGTAAAAATGGGACGAATCCCATTTTCTAGAACTTAAGTTCTATTTCTGAAATTTTTACCCTTCGCGAACGCGGTCAGTGCCTCGCGTTCGCGAAGCACAATTTGGGCTGTCTAATTGTACCCTTCGCGAACGCGAGGGCTATCTCTTGAACGCGAAACTTTCCTGGCTTGTACTTCGCGAACGCGAGATTCCCTTCGCGAACGCGAAGGCAAATTACCTGGCCAGCCTCTTTCACTTCGCGAACGCGATGCTTCGCACCTCAACCCTTCTCGAACACGTTCTCCCTGTCGCGAACGCGACGCACAAAAGCCTGAAGCCTATTCGAAACTCACCCGAGCCCTCGGGGCTCCAAACCAAACATGCACCCAAGTCCTAAAATATCATACAAACTTGCTCGCGCGATCAAATTGCCAAAATAACACCTAGAACTACGAATCGGATTCCAAATCAAAGGGAGTTTTTAATAAAACTTTAAAACTTATATTTTCACAACCGGACGTCTGAATCACGTCAAATCAACTCTGATTCTCACCAAATTTGGCAGACAAGTTATAAATATTATAGTGGACCTATACCGGGCTCTGAAACCAAAATACAGACCCGGTGTCAATCAATCCAATATCAGTAAATTCTTAAAAATTATTAAGCTTTCAAACTTTTAATTTTTCATCAAAATTCAATATCTCGAGCTAGGGACCTCAGAATTCGATTCTGGGCATAAGCCCAAGTCCCAAATCACGATATGGACCTACCGGAATTGTCAAAACACTAATCTGAGTCTGTTTGCTCAAAATATTGACCAAAGTCAACTCAATTGAGTTTTAAAGTTCTATTTCACATTTTAATCCATTTTTCACATAAAAACTTTCCAGAAAATTTTACGGACTGTGCACGTAAGTCGAGGCATGATAAATAGTGCTTTCTGCGATCTTAAAACACAAAATTAATTATTAAATTTAAAGATAACATTTTGGGTCATCACATTCTCCACCTCTAAAAAAAACGTTCGTCCTCGAACGGAGTTAGAAAAAGTACATGAGCTGGTGAATAAGTGTGGATATTTACTCCGCATGTCCGACTCGGACTCCCAGGTAGATGCCTTTACCGGCTGACCTCTCCATTGCACTCGAACTGAAGGATAACTCTTAGACCTCAACTGCCGGACCTGCGGGGCTAGAATAGCCACCGGCTCCTCCTCGTAAGTCAAATCTTCGTCCAATTGGACTGAACTAAAATCTAACACATGGGACAGATCACCATGATATTTTCGGAGCATAGACATATGGAACACC